AGGAGCAGCTCTCTTATCAGGAAAGGGGCCGGGGGGGGGCTCTGCAAGGAGTGAGTCGAGCAGGCTGCGCGCCCACATGCTCGAGCCCCCGGCGAGGGCTTGTGCTGTGAATAGCAGGCGTGGTCTCTACTCCAGGTGCGATGATCTCGAAAGAAATCCTGCGGAATCCCTCGTCCAGCCGCCGCTCTGGCCGACGGCCAGCCATCGAGTCACTGCAAATCGCGCATCCCGGCTGCACAATAAGGTCCCTCCATGCCAGCCGTCTACGTCCGGAACCGGCTTCGCGCCGCCTCCGTGTGGGGCCTCGAGGCGCTCGTCCGCCGGTCTGAGCCCGCCTACGAGAGGCAGGCCGTGCTGCGAGTTGCTGCGCGACCTTGGGACCCTGCGCCCTGCGGAGCCGCCAACGCCGTGGCGCATCCGGACGTGGGCGGCCTCTGGTTCATGCGACAGGCGGTTCCGCCCGCCGCCGTCGCCGCCATACGCGCGCTGGTGGAGGCGGCGGTCAGCGCACCGCGCAATCGAGGCGTCCACGCGCAGGTCGAGGCGGCGGGACGCGAGGTGGCCGCGCTCCTCGAGGCTGCCTGCAAGCAGCCGGCAGGCTCGGAGGCGTTTATCGAGGCGCACGAGCAAGCCGCGGAGGCGATGCGCCGGCGCGACGCCTTGCGCGCCGCCGCCGCGCAGCTGCCCGCGCCGCCGCCTCCCAAGCGCACTCCGCGCGAGTGGGAGTGGTACGAGTTTGAGCCCGGCCGGTGGATGGCGCCGATGCTGGCGCACCCGGCGGACGGCGGCATCGCGTCGCTCGCAGCGCGGCGGCGGCACCTCTCTAACTTTGAGGTCTTCGGAGACGCGCCCGTCGACGAGTGGCTCTGCCTCGCATCGCTGCAGGAGGGCACCGCCGCCGGCTCCGCCGAGCGAAGAGGGTGCGAGTGGCTCCGCTGGCTGCAGCGCGAGCTGCCCAGGCGGCTCCCGTGCGTCGGAGCCGTCGACGAGCCGCTCGCCGTCTTCCACCAGCTGCAGTACCTGCAGCGCGGATGCGCAATCTCTGCGCACGTGGACGCGCCGACGCCTCCCGCGGACGTCGTCGCCACCCTCTCGCTCGGCACGGGCCTGCACGACACGGTGCGGGTCGGGTCAGCGCGGGTCAGGCTGCGGCCGGGTGACCTGTACGCGATCGCCGGGCCTGCGAGGTGGGAGGAGACGCACGAGGTCCACCCGAGCACCTCGGACCGGCTCTCGCTCACCGTCCGCTTCGCGAGCCAAAGCGAACTTCAAAACTGCTAGCTCTGGCTGGGGGAGAGCGAGAGGGTAGATACGTAGAGCGGAGAATCAGGTGCAGGGGACACGGACGAGGGAGCGAGGCAGAGAGGGAGAAACTCCCCCCCCCTGTGCCCTGATCTCTGAGGACATGTACATGTTGTTGTTGTGACTTGTATAATGTTGAGCGCTCTATACCGAGCGCTCTATACCATCATAGTACATATAGAGAAGAGTCTGAGTGGTCCCGGAAACAAGAGACAGTGATGACAGATGAGTGATGCACAAGAGACTGATGCAGACGTGAGACTGTACCACTTACGAAATTACATGATCGCATGACTCTGCGGCGATCGGGAGCTTGAGGCCTGTGCGCCGAGGAAGAGGATTCATAGAGACTATCCTCCCCCGTCGTTGCACGCCACTAGACAGAGGAGAGAGCCCGAGGACAGTCTGAGAGGAAGGCGAGGTGTGTCGCTCTCGGTCGGCGCGAAGGCTCACTCGGCGAATCTGATCACCTCGCGTCCGGCGCCGTGCACAAACAGCACGCGGGGCAAGTTCTGCGCGAGGCCCTCAATGTACTCGACGTACTCGATGTGCGCGGCCAGGCGCTGGCGCTCCCCCTTCTCCCCCGGCTGCTCCGCGACCGACCAGAGGCCGCCGCTGGCGTCAGCGCCGGGGGGAGGAGACACGTCGGCGGGCCTGCCGGCCGAGCGCCTGAGCGGCGAGCCGGGGGGCGAGAAGCCGAACCCGCCCGAGCGGTCTGGCGCGAGGTTGTCTGGCGCGTCCGGCAGGTTGAGTATCACGAGCGACGAGCCGACGGACCGCTCGACGATGAGGGCGTGGATCTCGTCCCAGTCGTAGGCGACGGAGCTGTCGGTGCGCCCGTGCTGCGAGGAGGAGAAGAGGTCCGCCAGCTCCGCGACTGCCTCGTCGCCCAGGCCGTGCCGCGCGGCGAAGTCGGCGAGGCGCCGCTTCGGCGAGTCGACCGGCGGCGGCGGCGCCGCCGCGGTCGGCAGCGAGGGCAGCGAGCGCGACTCGCGGATCCATCGGGCGGGCCTGCTGGCCGCGAGCGACCAGGAGCTCTTCTGCGCCGCCGGCCCCGGCTCTGCCGGCCCCGGCTCCACCATCACAGCCGCTGGCGCCCGCGCGAGGACGGAGATGGCCTCCAGCTCGACGCCGCGCCGGTCGGGCGGGAGGCGCAGCCCGCCGAGCACGCTGAGCGGCGTCCCCTCGCCGTCCTCGGAAGAGTTCTCGGAAGAGGACTCGGCCTCACAGGCGGCGGGCGGCGAGGGCGGCGGCGACGAACGCGCCTCCACAGGCGGCGGCGTCGTGGCGCGGCTGGCGACGCAGCTGGCGGTCTGGCTGGGGGCGCAGCTGGCGGTCTGGCTCGGGGCGCGGCTTGCGGCGCGGCTGCTCGAGGTGCGGCGGCCGGAGTGGGGCGGGGCGAGGCTGGCCGAGGCGGCAGAGTGGGGCGAGGCGGCGGAGTGGCCGGCGGTGGAGGAGCGCCTCGAGACTGGCGCCAGCCGCGCGTCGGGCGCGGGGGAGGCGGAGGAGAGCTGGCGCACATCCTCGTCGCGCGAGTGGAGGTGCGGGTTGGCCTGCTCGGCGGCGGCGCGCTTCTCCTCCTCGAAGGAGCGCTGGGCGGAGGTGCGCATGTACGGCAGGATGGACCCCCTCGCGACGAGCAGCACCTCCTCCACCTTCGCCTCGATGTTGATGCGGCGGAGCAGCTCGTGCAGGTTGGAGCGGACGGCGCGCGGGTCGACGCCCGCCTCCATGACGAGGTGCAGCCGCAGGTCGCAGCCGCGCCACACGCGGTGCTTGCGCATCAGGTGCGCCATCAGCAGCATGAGGCCTGGTCACAGCTAGAGGTGTGAAGAGACGCTGTTCACGCGGTGCTTGCGCATCAGGTGCGCCATCAGCAGCATGAGGCCTCCGTCGCGGATGATCCACCACACGTCGATGAAGCCTACAGGAAGGTTCCGGGAAAGGTCTAGGAAAGATCCGAGAAGTGGGATGATGCACCACACGTCGAGGAAGCCCGACAGCTCCTCGTCGGGGCCGGGGAAGGAGGAGAGGCGGTGGCAGAGCAGCAGCGTCTTCTCGTGGATCGTCGCCGCGTTGATGGTCGACACCAGCTCCGGGACGTACTTTTCGGGCTCGTCCCGCCACCACCACGGCCAGCCCATCAGCAGCGTGTTTGGCACGAGCGGGCCGAGGCCAGCCCACTGGATGGCGCCTAGAAGGTTCCTAGAAGGTTCCTAGAAGGTTCCTAGAAGGTTCCCTCCTCCCAGCCCACTGGATGGCGCCCAGCTTCCCCTCGAGGAGCGTCCGCGCCAGGATCGTCTTGCAGAAGCCGCGCACGCCCATCCTGCCCATCAGCGAGTCCATGCGCGCGCGCTCCGCCTCGGCGAGCGCCACGGCGCGCAGAGAGTCGGCGGACGCGCCCGGCACGACGGCGGCGGCGATGACGAGCCCCGAACCGTGCCGCAGCTGCGCCGCGACGGAGAACATTCGCTCGTGCGTGTGGCCGACGTCGCCACGCACGAGGTCGCCGAGCGAGCTGGAGGACGGCTCGGCCGGCGGCTCGGCCTCGCCCCAGCCCGCCGCCGCGCTGCTGCCCCGCCGCGAGCCGTGCGACTCCTCCTCGCGCAGCTGGTACAGGAGGAGGAGCTGCGGCCGCCTAGTTGCAGCGGAGTGCGGGTGGCGAGCGTACGACGGGGGGCAGCCATGGGAGGAGGAGGCGGCGTCCGCCAGTTCTCGTCGAGGTGCGCCTTGATGTCGATTATTATTCGATTTACAGTTATTCGATTATTATTATATTTACAGTTCTCGCCGAGGTGCGCCTTGATGTCGATGCCGGTGAGGGAGCGCATCGCGAGCTGGAAGCGGAGGCCGACGAGGGCCGACCCCCAGTCGGTCTGCGCGTTTGTGCGTACGACGAGCGCGAGGACGAGGAGGGTGAGCAGCCAGGCGCCGAGGGCGTACCTCCAGTCGATGACGAACATGATGCTGGTGCAGAGGACGAAGCCGACCAGGCCGACCGCCCAGTGGAAGTAGCGGAAGCGCGGCCGCCAGTGCGGGTCCTTGAGCAGGGCGAGCAGGCAGGGTGTGAACAAGGAAATGTCTAGGAAGTGTCTAGGAGGGGTCCTTGAGCAGGCCGAGCAGGCAGCAGTTAGGGTTAGGGTCAGGGTTAGGGTCAGGGTCAGGGTCAGGGTTAGCCTTGAGCAGGCCGAGCAGGCAGCAGTTGAGGTTCATCATGGAGTAGCAGGTGAGGAAGCACATCGACAGCAGCGGCGCGACGGCGTTGAGCGAGCCGATCAGCACGCACATGGCGCCGACCAGGTACGTTGCGGCGAGGGCGAGCTTCGGCTCGCCGCCGGTGAGGCGGGCGAGCGAGCGCATCGGGCGGAGCATGCCGTCGGCGGCGATGGACGCGAGGAGGCGGGGCGCGACGACGACGCACTGCAGCGCCTGTCCGAGGGGAGGGCGGTGGGGTGCTGCGTGTGGTCTACTGCGGCGCAAGGGGAGGGCGGTGGGGTGCGTGCTGCGTGCTGCGTGTGATCTACTGCGTGTGATCTACTGCGAGCGCCTGTCCGAGCGAGGAGAGGACAATCCCGATCTGCGCCGCCTTGACGGAGGGGTAGATGAGCTCGTCCAGCTGGCCGTGCTCCATCGTGAGGTACTCGCGCTCTCCGACGGCGGCCTGCGCACGGGGGCGGGGGCGTGAGGAGACGCCGCGCACAACGAGAGGATGCGGGGACCGTTCAACCCACCCAGAAGAGATGCGTGTGCGTGTGTGTGTGCGTGTGGGCGTGTGTGTGCGTGTGCGTGTGTGCGCGTGCGCGTGTGTGTGGGCGTGTGTGTGCGTGTGTGCGTGTGTGCGTGTGTGTGTGTGTGTGTGTGTGTGTGTGTGTGTGTGTGTGTGTGTGTGTGTGTGTGTGCGTGAGAGAGAGAGAGAGGTTGCTGTCGACCGCACCCAGAGGACGAGGAAGGAGACGTAGACGCAGAAGGAGAGGGTGATGGCGCCGAGGGTGCCGCGAGGGATGGCGCTGGCCTGCCGGAGGGGGGGAGGAGAGGTATGTGTGGGGGGGGAGGGGGAGGAGGGGGAGGGGAGGGGGAGGGGGAGGGGAGAGAAGAGGGTGAGGGGGAGGGGGAGGGGAGGAGAGGAGGGAGCAGTGGCAGAGGTGGGGGGAGGCGCGCGCCGGGTCGCGTAGCGAGGAGGCGCGGTTCGCGCCGGAGAGGATGCCTGCAGGGAATAGAGCAGAAAGATAACAGAGGATGCCTGCAGGGAGGCTCTATATAACATGTATAGGCTGTAGAGGATGCCTGCAGGGAGGCTCGAGGGCAGCTGCGGAGGGCGTATCCAAGGCGGGTGGCGGTTGGAGGGACCGTGCCGGTGAAGCAGGGGTAGAAGATGGCGAGGCTAGATCTCGGCTAGAAAAGGTGATAGGGTGCCGGTGAAGCAGGGGAAGAAGATGGCGAGGCTAGATCTCGGCTAGAAAAGGTGATAGGGTGCCGGTGAAGCAGGGGAAGAAGATGGCGAGGCTACATCTCGGCTAGATCTCGGTGATAGGGTGCCGGTGAAGCAGGGGAAGAAGATGGCGAGGCAGTCGGTGAACTCGTACCTACATAACATACCATGTAATAGACGACACATAATGTATTTGGCGAGGCCGTCGGTGAGCTCGCACCCGGGGGCGAAGGAGGGGCCCCAGTTGGCACGCAGGTTTGCGGTGGAGAGGCCGGAGGGCGCGGGGCCGGTGGCGTTGGCAGGTGCGTCGATCGGCTCGAGGTTCGGGGCTCCGAAGAGGGAGAGGTAGAAGGAGAGCATGGTGAGGAGGACGACGGCGAAGAAGACGAGGCCGAGCTGCGAGATGAGGCGGATGCCGCCTAGATTAGATGATCACAGGTTGTAGACTACAGAGTTGGAGCTTCGAGGTGAGGCGGGTCCCGCCCGCGACGAGCAGCGCGAGGGCGAGCATGAAGGCGGACGCCCAGGCCCGCACCGCGTTGATGTGCGTCGTGAACTCGAAGAGCGAGTGCTGCACCATCTCCAGCTCCTCGCAGGCGCCGAGCACCTTTGAGGAGGGGGGAGGAGCGGAGGAGGAGGCGAGTGGGAGGGACGAGGCGGGGGGAGGGGACCGGGCGGCGCAGCGCGAGACACGGCCGCGAGGGGACCGCCGCTACTGCAGGACCGCCGCTACTGCAGGACCACCTCGAGCACCGCCAGAAAGACGATGCCCAAGAAGTAGACGAGGCCGACCGCGGTGGCCATCTCCTTGCCGAGGGCTCGCGCGAGCATTGGGTACACTCCGGCGAGGCCCTGGCTCGTGCCGCACGTGGCGATGGCGCTCAGCGATAGAGCCGTGAGGAGGGCGACCATAAACGAGAGGGACGCGATCAGCAGCGCATAGCCGAGGCCGCTGTACCCCACTATCTTGTAGAAGCGGAGAAAGATGATGACGCCCCACATATTCTCGCAGGTTGGCACCAGCACGCCCTTGTACGTTCCCAGCTTGCCTCGCTGCTGCACAGGAGCTGGATGCGAGCCACCTCTCTGGCTCATCATCGTGATCTGCTTGTGGAGGGTCGGCCCCTCGGACACGGCGGCCCGGCGCGGTGTAGCCACCATCGCGCGAGAATGCACGGGATCACTGTCCGTAAGGCTGCTCTCTCGAACGGGAAAAGACACGAACGTGGAGCGCTAAAAGCCGGTGCGTTGCAACGGCTGCTCTTTGAGTCGCGGGTCCACCACTCGCAAGGCCCTTGTTGGTGTTTCGGCGGAAAAAAGAGGGGAAAACAGCAAACAGGGCGAAACGCCTTTTGAAGGTCCGATACTGGAAGCCCATATAGGTCTTGAGCGACACTACGTTTCCGAACAAACAAATGAGTGTGAGTGTTATCGTTGTTTGATTGCTAAAAATCTCTCGTTTCCGCGGCTGGGGATTCTCCGGGCACCCCTCTTTGACTTTGTACCCGTGCTGGCTGGATTCCTCCTCCGAACAACTCAAGTTCGATCGGCCCCAGTCTCGAACTGGCAGCCACTATCTCACCGGAGGTACCATGTCCGAGGAGGCCACCGGCCAAAAGCGCATGTCTTGAAGGTCCGATACTGGAAGCCCATATAGGCACCTTACAGAACCGCGATTGTGCAGCGGGTCCTTTTTCTTTTGCGAACCAGTCCATGGCCTCCGCGAGACCCTCCGTGCTCGTGCTCGGTGGCACGCAGTTCATCGGCCGCGCCTCGGTGGCCGCGCTCCTCTCCGACGGCGGCTACGACGTCACCCTCCTCAACCGCGGGAGGAGCCGGCCCAATCCATTTGAGGGCCGCGTCGCCACGCTAAAGGCGGATCGCACAGACGCGGCGGCGGTGGAGGCGGCGCTCGCGTCGCGGCGGTGGGACGCGGTGATCGACTTCATCGCCTTTGCGCCGGCGGACCTCGCTCCCATCGTGTCGCGGCGCGAGTCGATCGGGCTCTACGTCGTCATCTCGACCGATTCGGTGTACATGGCGTGCGACCCGGGCAGCTTCTCGCGGGGCGCGGCTGGCGGGCTGCTGGAGGAGTCGAGCGGCGGCGCGATCGACGCGGCGCGCGCCGCCGACGACCGGTACGGCGAGGGCAAGCTGCTGCTCGAGCGCGCGCTGGCGGAGAGCGGGCTGCGGTACGTGGCGCTGCGGCTGCCGGACGTGCTCGGGAGGCACGAGAACACGGGCCGGCAGCACAGCCTGATCACGCGGCTCATCAAGGGCAAGGCGGTCGGGACGAGGGACGCGGGCGAGGAGGGGAGCGGCGGCTTCCGATTCGCGTTTGGCGGCGAGGGCGGCGGCGAGGGCGGCGGCGAGGGCGGCGGCGAGGGAGCGAGCCGCAAGGTGCGGGCGGTGCTGGCCGGCGCCGAGGCATATCGGCCGGCGGCCTGTGAGAGAGCTTTGGCGCTGCCGCATTAGGTGTCGGTGGTGTTTGCGGAGGACGTCGCGACGGCGGTGGCTGCGGTGCTCGCCCGAGGGTGCGGGGGAGGGGCCGGCTCGTGGCCGGAGGGGGCGGGCGGAGGGCGGGGCGTGTCGCTCCACATCTGCCAGAGGGAGGCGGTGAGCTGGCGGCGGTTGGTGGCCGGGCTGGCGGACGCCTTGCGGAACCAGGGCGTCTCTGTGCCGCCGCCGACCTTTGACCCGGAGGCGTCGACTCGCTTCCTCTCGGTCGACTTTGGCCACCTCGACGGGGGGGCGGCGGAGCGGGCGCTGCCTGGCTGGGCGGCGGCGCCGCTGGCGCAGAGGCTGGAGGAGACCGCGGCGTGGTGGGTCGGGCGGCCGCGGGAGAGCTTTGAGGAGAAGGCGGCCGCGGCGGCCGCGGCCGGGAAGCGCAAGTCGCGAACCTAGCAATGCGCTACCCGCCGCCCGCACAGCACGTGATACATGTAGCATCATCGATCATGCGCCTCTCCATCACATCCTTGCGCTCTATAAACAAATCCAACTACACCAGATTTCACAAGATTCTACATCGCGCGCCACTGCAGGGCCTGAGGACATTCGTGCACAAAGCAGATACCAGACGTCGGTTTCCCATAGGGTTTCTGCTGCGGTTTCCCATGGCGGTTTCCCGTAGCCGAAAACCCAGGGGTCGGTTGGTTTCTGCGGCGCGCTCTGTTTTTTTGGGGATCTGTTTTCTGGGACACCCGCCTCGATTTCCCGTGGGATCTGCCTGTGGGTCTGGTTTCTGCGGTGTGAATACATCTCCCGCTTCGTCCTAATGAGCTCATTCCGGCCAATGAACAGGTGTACCCCGATGCGAATTTTTTCAAGTGGGAACCGCGAAACGGAACGGGATCTGCACTTGGAGAGCGTTCTGGTTTCTTTCTGGTTTCTGCTCCGATTGGTGCAACTGGTGATGAGTGTTACAAGCTGAGGTTGTCAACGCCGGGTGCGGGTAAATCTCGGCACGGATCGGCACGTGTGGTAGCGTGCGATGAGGCCTTGCCAGCTCCTGGTGGTCCCCTCAAGATCGCCGCGCGCATTGGCCGCTCCGCCGACGTTGTGATGAGCTTCTTTCTGTCTCCAACAGAGTAGATCCAAACACACTATTGATAGGTGATAGGTACTCAAAACACTCGCACAACGCCTGCCTTTCACAGCTCAGCCTTTCAGAGCTTGGGCATGACAAGCAACGGCCCCGCCGGTCGGCGTCCGATGCACGAGGCAGCCATGTTGGCTGCCACGGCGTTTCCGCTCGGGATCGCGGCAGCCTGGCGGACTCGACCGCATCGCAGGCCTCCCTCCCGTGAGCCACAAAAGTGCGTGGCAGCGCGGCGCGCCGTCAACCTCGCTTTCGGAGCAGAAACCAGAAACCAGAAACCATAATGCCTGGGCGCATCTATCGCGATAACCAACCAGAACGCCGGGTTCCCCCCAAGGGTTCCTCCCACCCAGAACATGCTGCTGTCTTAGTACTCCCGTTCGACCCCATTGACATTCGGAATCCGATTAGTTAATGAAAGGGTAATTCCGCCGGAATGACCCCTCCGGGGAGATCGTTCACACCTCGAAAAACCAGAACCCAGAGTGTCTGGACCGATATTCCCATGGCCCGGATGTTTTCTGTGGGATGTGTCGAAAAAGCAGAATACAGAGCTCCTCGTCCTATAAGTCAGACGGTTTCTTGATAGCTGATATGCCAGGGAAGAGCCTGGTATCTCAGTATGTTAAATCCTATGATATAACATAGTGGGATCTGGTTTGTGCATACCTCCCTGAGGAATGATTCAGGCCGTCCCGTTTTGATCTCTCGGTCAGTGGGGGCGCCCGCCCGCCGCCTCTGAAGGGGGTCGCGGTCGGGGCCCCCTAGACTGAAAACAAAAACAAGCTCGAAAACAGCCAAACTCAGCCTGCGAGAGAGGCACTGCGCGCCGCTGACCTCATGTGGGGATGTGTGCCGACACCAATACACACACACACACACACACACACACACACACACACACACACACACACACACACACACACACACACACACACACACACACACACACACACCACACCGCTCTCACCCACGCGCACTACGTTAAGGCCTGCCAAATGGTCCTTAGTGGCGTCACTCCTCCACCTGCCGAAAGCGACGCGGTCGCGGCATCTGCCGAAAGCGACGCCAACAGGTTCGTCTCTTTCGTGTTCGACGAAGAGGGCGACCATTTCGACCCTGCTGAGGATGTGAAGCCTCTCGCCAAAGCCTTGCGCCCGTACGCTACGACGCAGGTCAACAGCAAGTCAGAGATCGTGCCCGACTCGACAATTGCCTTCGTTCTGCGCACCGGAATCAGCTTTCCAGGTGCCAACCTGGCACTCAACAATCCGATCGTCACCACCGGCATCGGCAAGAAACTCGGGAGCGAATCGCCCTCGGCGCGCTCGAGACAGCCAAGGCGAAACACTCAGGCCTCCAAGGCCTGCCGAGCGAGGTGGAAGACCTGCTCAACGGGCCGGCGCTGGAGCGGCTGGCCGCCTTTTTCCAGGACACGTGGCTCTCCAAGCTGCTCACGTATGAAAAGGGGGAGTACTTCTTCTCGTGCGAACAGTCCGCCGTCCTGCGGCACAACCACCCCGAGCTTTGGGAGCTTCTGCAGCCGCACAAGGGGGCGGAGTACAGCGTTCCACTTTTGGAAGGGGCGAATGGCTTCGCCAACGACGTGGGCGACTCGCTGCGCTTCCAGATCGACGAACAGAGCGGAAAGCTCGTGCCGTGCGACAACGTGAACCTGATACCGCAGCAGCGGCTCAAGCTTTCGTACTGCATGATCGAGGTCGCCGAGTTTTATCACGTCGCACTCCACATCGCCGCGGAGACCATGCAGTTCGCATCGCAGGATTTCGCCCCCGACGGAATTACCGACCCGGTCTGGCGACTTTTCAATCCAGGATTCAACCAGACTGCCCAAAAGAGCATCGCGGCTGAGGTTCTGCTCACGCAGAGCGGCCGCCCCGACAAGAAGGGCCAGCACGGCTTCCTGTACTCGACCACGCTCCCGGGCGAGGCCGTGGCGGAGCTGAAGGCGACGATCAGCGAGCTCTTCTCCGCGCCGTGCAGCAGCGACCGCTGGATGCCCGCCAACGTGTTGGATGAGCACCGGCAGCACTTTGTGCCCCTCCTGCAGCGCGCGCAGAATGTTGTCTGCAAGGATGAGTACCGGCTTCCCATCCCGCCGCCCATCATGACTTTGTACAGCGCCAAGCTGAGTAGCCTGGGCGGCTACTCGCCAGCGTCCATCGCGCCGTGGATGCCGCCCGTGACCGCCGCGATGATCGGAATCGAGCACACGATGACGTTCAGCTGGCAGCTCCTCTTCGCCACCGACATCGAGGACGGAGTTGCTGATTGGCAGTTCCGCGGACCGAGTAAAGTCGCGAACCAGGTCTTGACGACGATTGTCCTCAACATCCCAAACTCAACGATGCATGCCTGCAACGCGTCTGCCACGGGACCTGATTCGCTTCCGAAGACCCAGACAACGTCGGTCCAGAACGAGATGGCGCAGAACGGCCTCTACCTCAAACACCACGGTGAGGGCCAGTACTCGAGCGAGTGCAAGCACTTCCCGGCGGCACTCAAGAATGTCGAACGACCTGCGGGCGCTCTGGAAAGAGGTGGACGACCGCAACTTCAGCGCCGTCACCTTTGTCTACGAGTCGAGCCGGTGCGTCACCTCGTCGACATGGATCTAGGGGCCCTGCAGCGGCCGTGTCGAATGACTTGGTTCCGTGCTCGCGCGCTCCGGGGCGCTCGTGTCGAGCTCGCGCGGCGCTCTGTCAGAGAGAGAGAGAGAGAGAGAGAGAGAAAGAGAGAGCGACTCAGGTTACTCGCTGAGACCTGAGTTTGCTGTCTGACTGTCCACATCGAGGAGAGGTGTCCATTGTGGTTTGTGCTGCTGATTAGGTGCTGTGAAATGCCGTTGTGTTAAATGCAGCTTTACGTACGCGTCACACACATGCGTCAAAGCACCCGCCATAACTCCTACACACAGCTCACACACCGTCACCAGCGGGCCGCATGTGCTCGGGCAGCTCCACGTCGCCTCCCACCGCCTCGAGCAGCGCCTCCCTCCACCGCGCACCTCGAATGAAGGTGAAGCGCCGCGTCTCCGCGCCGAGGAAGAGCGAGACGACGCGCCAGACGGCCCAGAAGACGCCGTTGACGGGCGCCACGATCACCTCTCCGAGCAGGCCGGGATAATGCTGCACGAGGGCCGGGAGGACGGCGATGGCGAGCGCCGGGTCCTGGTTGCGCACGCCCGAGGAGGACCGGTCCACCACGAGGCTGAACTGGCCACCCGGCCCGTCCGCCACGCCGAGGTCCCGGATGGCCGCCTCGGCGTTGTAGACGACGAAACGCCGCCACGTCTCGGTCGGAATCTGGCCCGGGCGGTGCCGGTCCGCGAAGAAGACGGCGGTGGGGCGGCCGGCGCGGTCGCGCCCGCGCAGCCAGCGCGCCTCGCCCGCGCCCGCCGCCTCGCCGCCCGCCTCGTCGCGCTGCTTGAAGAAGGTCTCGAGCGAGAGGAGAGCCCCCTCCCTGTCGAGGATGCCGTCCACACGCTCGTCGCTCCGCCACGCTGCAGTCGAGCGCAGCGCCGCCTGCACGCCGTCAAGCGCCCGTACCTCCGCCGCCTGGCCTCCCCTCGCCCGCACGAAGCGGAGCACGTCCGTGCGGCTCAGCCGCCGCAGCCACGCCTCGCCGCCCGCGCCGCCCTCGCCTCCTCCCTCGCCCGCCTCCGAGAGGCATGCGAGAGCTGCGTCCACCAGCCGCGCCTCTCTCGCCGAGGCGGCGCGCCACCCGAAAGAGAGGGGAGGCGGCTGCCCCTCGTCTCCGTCAGCGGCTCCCGCCTCAACGGCTGGGGCTGCGCCCTCGGCTGGGCTTGCAGCACAACTGCGCAGCAGGACGGTCACGGTGAGTCCTGTCCGGCCTCAGGCACAAGCTGCAGCAAGCTCACCTTGTCGCGGCTGTGGCGGGGAGGTCCCCTGGTCTCGGCTGCTCCGACCGTGGAGCTCCTCCTGCCTCCGGTGGCCGTGGCTCCGAGGCCGGCAGCGACCGCAGCAGCGCCACCTCCCGCGCGATCAGCGCCGCCATGGCTGCGGTGAAGAGGCCCACCGCTGCCGCGAGAGCCAGTAGAGCGGCGGGCAGGAGCGACGAGGCGCCGAGGAGCCGTCGAGTGCGCGAGAGGAACAGGGACACGAACGGCACCAACGCCACGGCCGCAGCAGCCCGCCACGGGGTCGACAGCTGGCTCGCAGCAAAGGCGAGGGCGTAGGCTTTCGCGACGCGCCCGAGGGCCGCAGCAGGCCACCGGGCGGCTTCGAGGCGAGCTCAGGCCGAGCCGCAGGCGGAGGCAGCCCGCGCAAGGCGAGCGCGACTCCGGCCGAGTACCACGCGGTGGAGACGCACGTGTACGCGACGGCGCCAGCCACGCCGTGCGCAGCGATGCCAGCCTGCGGACATCCTCGGCGAGACGGCTTTGGCGCTTGCCGACTTGCGAACGGAGCGAGAGAGACTGACAGCACGACGAGGGCCAGCATCTCAGCGTGGCCAACGTAAGGGCTCGCACAACGGCGAGCGAGTTCTTTACCAGGTTGCAACCCTTGTTCCGCTGTGCTGTGAACAGAGCACCAACCAACAGCTCTCAGGACCCCCCGGTGCTGGGGTGCTGCCAGCAACCAACCAAGTCGAGCGGAGCAGCGTCGTTCCGATGTTTCGGCGGGCACTTCTCACCTAAGTCCTTGTGGCGGGCCGCCAGGCCCGGAAGCAGATGCCGACGAGGATCAGACGGCGCGCTATCTGGGCTCGGAGGTCAAAACACTTGGTATTGCTAAAAATCTCTCTCTCCGGAGGTCGGCAAAAAGGTTGCGCAACCGACACCAGCGACCAGGATCGTCGATCGAGGTAGGTGCACGCTGCTGAAGCAGTGCACCTACATAGTGCGGGACCTGGGGCAGCAACCAACAACCTGGATGGGGACGGGGTGCTGCTCAACCGGCGGCAAACAGCAGCGTTCACAGCCGAGTGCGGAACAAGGGTTGCAACTTGGTAAAGAACTCGCGCGCAGGATTCTTGGGGTTGAAGTAACCTGCTACTCCGGCACGGCTGCTTGGAACTCGGCACGGCGATCGTTGGACGTTGCGCCGACCCCACCCATGCATGACCGCCGCCGCACGGCCACGGGCGGGTGCTCTCCGACGTCACCTGCTCACTATCATCGATCGCCGTAAAGGTTCGCATCGTCGAGACGGCCGACCGCAGCGGCTGCTGGGACCAGCCAGGCGAGCCTGCACCGTGTGTTTCGCTTCGTTCGTTGTGTGTGTGTGTGTGTGTGTGTGTGTGTGTGTGTGTGTGTGTGTGTGTGTGTGTGTGTGTGTGTGTGTGTGTGTGTGTGTGTGTGTGTGTGTGAGCGGCTGCGAACGAACGAACCCAACCAAACAAACAAACCCCCAAGGAGGGTGTGACGTAGCAGGATGAAATGGTGCCGAGCCAGGTGCCGACGATGAATCTAGCGATAAGACAAGGGGGTGCCTAATCAGTGTCGGCACTGTCTTCGTCCTATCTCGATGATATGTTGATGACACGGTTAGAAGTTAGAGTGCCCGCCGCTTGCCGCCTTTTTGCAGTCGCAGAGCAAGCAGCAACGGCCACACATGAGTACTCTTTCCTTTGCTCGCGTGCGCTGCCGACCTGACCTGAAGCACGTCCGCGACTTCGACAGCCCCAGCTACAAGACTGTCGACATCATTTCGGTGCACGGCTCTGAGAAGGAGATGGCCATCATGCGCCACAAGAAGGACGACCGCGTGTTTGCGGCGTCGGCAAACTCGGGCAGCAAGGCTGACTTTGCGAAGTACCTTCGCTCGACGTACCAAAACGCCAAGGCATGCGCATCTGTTCCTCTCACCGCCCCCCTGACGCTCATGGCGTGCGCACAGACGTCTATTCCTGGCCTATGGCCATGGTAGATTTTTCATACCGTTGGTATGTTTTTCATACCGGTGGTAGGTTTTCCCTCCAAGTAGACTTCCTCCCCTCTGACAGGCTTCCGGGCTGACCCTCGTGCCGTCCGACTGGACGGAGCCCGAAGACGGGGAGCCGCTCCCGATCTCCACCAACCTCCCTACCTCGCCCGATCGCCTCGCGGAGGCAATCGCTCAACACGTCGCCCAGTCGCCGAGGCACGTGCGCCAACTGCACCAACCACGGTGTGCTCAAGTATGCGCGCCGCACCATGTGTACCCGCTACAAATGCCAGAAGCAGCGGCCACGGCGGAGCGCGTGGCGCGCCTCGCCGACGGCGGAGGAGACGACGCGGTCGTGCCGACATACTGCTTCGAGATCAAGGAGGTGATTGGCATGCGCTTCGCCGACCCTGAGCGGCTCGTCGGGAAGAAGCGGCGCAATGAGCTGGCCGCGGCGGAGACGTCGCTGTGCTACCTCACCCGCGGCAAGTTTGGAGAGGACCAGAATGACGACGGCTTCATTGATACGCGCTGGGTCGAGCTCGAGGAGCTGTACGACAAGCTTGCCGTGGCGCGCGCTTCGTCGCGCGAGCAGCGCAACGGCGACGTCTCGATCGTTCGCGACCTGCGCTCGATCTACGTGCATACGCGGGCGCGGGCGTCGGAGGCGCGCGAGCTGCGGCTGTGGACGGCGGCGCTGCAGGCGCAGGCGCGCGAGGAGGCGGAGGCGGCGCTGGAGCATGAGGAGCCACTCGTGACCTTTGAGGACGCGGGGGACGTGCTGGGCATGGTGGAGGCGCCGCTGCTCGTGCCGGACGGGTTCAAGGTTGTCGTGGCCTCGCCGACGGAGGAGCAGCTCGACCCGACCAACCCGGCCAGCGACACGCGCTCATCGAGCAGCGCATCATGGTCCGCTTCGAGCACTACGGCTGGTGCGTGGGCACGGTTACGGCCAAGGTGAACGACGGCCGGCGCACGATCGAGCGTGACCGCGTCAACTTCGTCGCCAAGTTCGACGTTGACAACGGCGCGGCGACGGACCTCTCGAGTCGTCGATGTACGACGGCTCGCCGTCGGCAGAGTACGAGTCGTGGCTGCTGCTCGAGCCTGTTCTGGCGCCGACGGAGGCGGCGGCCCTGGCAGCGGCGGCCGGCGGCGCAATCGTCGCCGTGTGAAGAGGTCGGACCGGCTGGGGCCGGGCGGTGGGCGGTGGGCTGCCTTGGGGGGATGGGCTGTGGCACGGTCCGAGTCGTAGGGCCGGTGCCGCCTGGATGCCGTTCTGATCATTCCTGCGACCTTTGTAGTCTTCCGTCCGAGGTCGGGCTGAGGGAGGACTGATGAGCCGCGTCACTGTCCCTGCCTGTGCCTGTCTGCTGCTAGTGCCGAGAGAGAGGCTCCGGGTCTCAGCGCCTCAGGCGGGCCCAGCGGCCGGTGTTCTGAACGTTCTGAGAACGCATTCCGAGCCTTGCCATTCTGATCATTCCCCTTACCTTGCCAACTCAGCCGGCGGAGCATCGACTTCCTTCTAGGACGTGTGTCCTACTTCCCCCCCGGCTGGGGCCCGGCGCGGGGTTTCGCACTTGGACTGGCGGCGCGACGTCCTGCATGTAACCGGGCGCTGCTCTCGACTTCTCCGCTAGGAGCGGAGGAGGGAGAGGGCGGGGCAAAGCCGCGCGCTTCCCTTCCTCTTTGGGTGGGTGTGCGCTTATACAGCGAGGTGCGCGGCACAAGGCGACAACTCCCAGATCTCCGGACGCAGGTGTTTCAAAAAAAGAATTCAATGGTCCATCCCGCAATGGCCGAGTGCCTCGCCGGCTTGGGGCTTCAAGACAGGTCGCTGTCCGATGGCAGAGCGACGACCTGGGGAGGAGCACGTGCTGTTCGGTATGGCGGGCCGGGTAGATCTTGAACTGGCGTCCGTCATCCTTGAGGAGTGGCTGCCGCAGGCGCAACGCTGGCGAGCGCAGGTTGTGTCCACCGGCGAGCGGATCCAGGTCCGGCCGGCGAAGCTGAAAACAGAAATCGATGCGGCTGCCGCAGCTAGCGCGCGGGCCGCCGATGCGGCTGCCGCTGTGGCTGCTGCAGCCAGGGAGCATGCAGAAGACGACTTGTATCAGGCCTGCCTCAACGGTGACGTAGAGCTGCTGAGTGGTGCGCTCGCTCGTGGAGCGTCCCCCAATCTGATGATCTTCAATAGCTGGGCGGAGGTGCCCAACGGGCCAGAACTCTACGAGGAGTGCGTCAGCGTCACATACCTCGCGTGCGCTTGCGACGTCAGCAACCGCGAGCGCGTGGCATCACCCGCCGAAGCGGCGAGGCGAGGAGCCTGTGTGAGGAGATTGCTCGACTTCGGCGCTGACATTTCGCACACTGAGCGAAACAATGGTGCAGAGGGCGGATGCGGACGCTCGTACACTCGCTTGGATTGCGTACATCCCAACAACATCATGTACGTCTGCGTCCGCCGCAAACTGGCTCTGTGCCTCGAATACCTCCTGTCGTCGCTGCCCCCCGAGCGCCGCAGCGAGTGGCTCGGCCTTTGCGAGAATGCTTGGTGCTGCCTGCTAACGCGCGCCATCGAATGTTCGTCCTACGCGTGCTTGCGATTGCTTCTCGCCGCGGGCGCGGATCCGAACGTGAAGCCCGACCGGACCAGGCCGCTGCTGCAACTAGTCGCGATGAAGGATGTGCCGGAGGAGAGCGGGGAGTCGCCGCTGGCGATCCTCCAGTTGCTCTCATCCCATGGTGCGAGTCGCGCCTCCGTCGAGTCCCACTCTCTCTACACCGAAGAGACCGGGCGCATCAGCCTTCCCGGCGACCCGAGGGTGACGGCCGAACGAATCCTCCGATTACGCATCCAGGCAATGGAGGCGGCGCAGGGCCCTCCGCCGCCGGCGCTCGCACGGGCCAACGCCGCCCTTGATTGGCTGCAGACGAGCAGCGAGTGGTCGACGCCGCTGCACCACGTCGCGCTCATCGGCGCTACGCGCGCGCGCAAGCTGCTCCGCGGCGGCGCTGACGTGCACGCGAGCAGCGGGGACGGGCCGTCACCACTCTCGCTGGCGAATGACCTACATGCCGCGGGACATGCTGCCGCCGGGCCTCTCGGTGACCAGCATGTGTGCGAGGTGGCCCGCCTCGTGCGCGCCGCGGCGGAGCCGTGGACGCCACAGACTCACGAGCTCTTTCCAGACGCGGCGCGAGCGCACGCGTGCGACTTGCTGTGGCCGCTCGCTCGCCTCGCCAACGACCCGCGCCTCGCCGGCGGCCCACCGCAAAGTGCCTTTGTCCACGCCGTCCTCAGCCACGCTATCACACGCGGAAGGCCGATCGCGTAGCTCATGAGACAGGGTGCGTCGACGGAAGAGAGGTGTGAGAGCGACGGGACGGGGGTGTGAGCATTCTTTTAGAGCGAGAGTAGCTACGCAGAGTAACGGTGCTCACATAGTTGATTATGTACCAGTAGTAATTACGGCGCCATGCCCGCGCGCCGCGGCCTTCACGCTTCAGAGCTCCTCTACCGACCTGCGTTGGAGCCCGAACCCAGGCAACTCGGTACGGCGGAACTACCGTAGTACGGCGGGGGCGACGCCGGTTTCATTGCTGCCGACCCCATAAATGCAGCGATGGACATCTCGCTGCAGGCGCTCGCGGGGCCGTGAGTGGGGGTCCCCACTGCTGCCCCTCTGACTATCTTTTGTGTCTGTGGTGATGCCTTTCCCTGAGAACGCACACAAACAACGCCTCGTGTGTAATGCCCTGTGTTCCGCGAGTGCGTGTGCCCCGTCGTCCATGCTAGGACGTGTGTAACACTGACTGACTGACTGACTGTGGGTATCCAGGGACCACCACGTTTTCAACGTCTGCGCACAGGCGCGGCGAGCATTACGTTGTCGTATCTTTTATTTAGCTTACTTACATCTTACAGGGGAGAATCGGACACGGCACACCACCCCCACCCACCAAACCGCAACGCGCGCTCTCTCTCTCTCCAAACCGCCCGCCCAGAAAAAAATTGAAGTTTTGGTGTGAGCTCTGTGTGTGTGTCCTGACTAACTTGCCAACAATCAATACCTGCATTCACAGATAGGTTGATAAGAAACAAGAAGGTCACCTCCAGTACGCCGACCGAAGCACGCCCGCACACCTGAGACAGCTAAGGGGGAACCTGTTCACTGCCTTTAGAGCCCCGCGGGCGTCATCGATTGGCGCGTGGGTTGTGCGCTGGGCCCTCCTGCTCGGCTCCAGCGAGTAGACAAGTGTTGTCATCAACAGAGTAGAAGGATCTGACCTCGGGGCCGATGTGACCAAGCGCTGGTAGCGTGGTTTTACCTCACACCCATGGTCTCACAGTGTGCCGGCAGTCGCCGAGCAGTGTCGCTCACACAAGCCGCAGCACAAGTGACTGAGGGCCAGTGAGGGCGAGCCCATCGCTGTCACAGCTGTGGCAGCCGCACAGACCACAGTAGGCTGTGCCATCTGAGATCTGTGCAGAGCGTGTGCCGTGTGAATCTGTGTGGTATAGGTCGGTCGGGGTCCCGGGGGTCGATTTTTGGAAGTGAATAGCACGGCATAGAAACTGCAAAACAAGGTGCGTTAGCTCGAAAGAAACACATAGGCACCCACATGGGTTGCCATCCCTCAACACAAGTGGCCCACGGTTCACATTCACACACCCGGCCGCACCGCTCACGCACGCAAATGGCTCTCGCACCACCTCAACACACGCGCACGGGGGCGGAGGACGCGCGCTAGTCACTCCTCCTCGCCCTCCTCGCCCTCCTCCGCCTCCTCCGCCTCCAGCTCAGACGCCGCATCGAGCTCCGCCTCGTACGCGTCGATCAAGTCGTCGTGTATCTCTGACTCTGGCTCCCACGTCGACACGTCCGGCGGGTACCCCTTCCAGAGGATCAAGTAGTACGTCATCTCGACCCGCTTCTTGCCCTGTGAGGCGAGAAGAGAGGTGGTCGGGCACGTGAGCGATGGAGTGGCAATAAGCAAGGGCAGGTGCGAGTGTGAGGGCGCAAGCACCTTGCCGACCGTCTCCACCTTGCTGTCGAGAATGCGCTCGATGTCAAACTTCTCACTCGCCTCCCACTGCCAGCCGTTGAGCTCACGCAGATCGACCCTCTTCCTCTTCTTCTTCTTCCCGCCGCCGCCGCCGCCGCCGCCGCCGCCGCCCTCTTCGCCCGCCACGCGCCGCTGCCGCACCTTCCGCACCACGCCGTCGCCGTCGCACCCCGAGTCGCCGTCCTCGAGGTCGTTCGCCTCGACGCCATGCGCGGCGAAGAGGAGGTTCTGCAGCTGCGTGCAATAGTCCGCGCGGTTCGCCTGCGTGACAGTGAAGCCCGTCTTCCCCGCCAGCTTGAAGGCCTTGAGCTGGTCCTACAACAAACGAGAGCCGTGAGTAGTGGGGCACTAGTATACCGCTCAACAGCGTCCGAGAAGCGCCTGCAAGCCGGCGATCGCCAGCTTCTTCAGCTCTGAGTAGCGCCGCACGAGCGGCAGCTGCGCGATGCGCGCGTTCTCGGCCGCCTTGGCCGCCTTGCGCGCCTTCTTGCTGCCCAGCTTCTCGTCGCGCTCGGCGCGCTTTGCGCGGCCCGCCGCGACCAGCTGCGCCTTGAGCGTAACGCGTCTCGCCCGCCCCGCCGCCTTTCGGCACGCCGCAAGCATGGTCTCGGCGACCTTGAGCCCGCCGCGCTCATCGATCTCGCCCGTCAGCCAGCCGGCTTGGTTGTTAAAGCGCCCGAGCGAGTCGCCGGCGCGCGACTCATTGCGCTGCCGCTTGTGCCGGTCGTCGCTGACGCGGCCGACGGCGTGCAGCCGCTCAACCGGCGTGCTCGTCGCCTGCAGCGCGTCGTACTTTGCGCGCAGCGCCGGGGTGATGTTCGCCGAGCACAGCTTGCCGGTCTTGGTGATCGAGCCGTTCGTGGCGACGAGGCCCGCCGGCATCCACTCCGCAGCGTGGTTGCAGACCGCCCGGGACATCGCGCCGAATGCCGCCGTCAGCAAGCGCGTCACCATCGGGTCGTCGGCCGCTGCGGCGCGAATGCGCACCATATCGAGGCGATGGCGCTCGGCGCGGCGCGCCTGCGTTGGAGTTGGCGCGGTAGCGGCGGTGGCGGCCGCCGAAACGTCGCCGAGCTGCAGCTTGAGCGAGCCGTCGACGATGCCCGCGGGCGACGCGGCGGCCGCCTCAAAAAACGCGTGCGCCGCCGGCCACACGCGCGGGAGCACGTCGAGGACGTGCTTGTCCGCGGCTGGCTTGACCGCGCGGATCAGCGGCCAAAACACCGCGTCGCAGATCAGCGCCATGGCGCGCACCCCCGCCATGCAGGGCGGCGAGCGCGCGCCGGTGAGGATAGACTTGCGCAGCTTGCCGCCGCCGGCAGCCTTGAGCATCTCATCCTCGTCGAGGTAGGTCAGCATGGAGATGTCGTGCTCAGTGAGCAGCCGCTCCGTCGGCGCCGCGTCGAGGTAGAAGACGTACGCGCGCGAGCCGCAGATCGCGAGCACGTCCTCCCACGTGCCCACGAGATGCTCGAGCTGCTCCTCGAGGTCTGCCAGCCGCGCCTCCATCCCACTCTGCAGCTTGCGCCCCGATGCGTACCCTTTGTTCGACAGAGCGCGACGTACTTGCTCACCTACGCCCTGCGCGCGGGGGGCGCGCGAGCATGGGAAAGACGCACCTCCATCGTGCTTGCTACCGGCGCTTTTTTGGCCGTTGGCACCATCGTTGATGACTTGATTGCGCGGGAGTCGAATCCCAAATTCTCTCCGCTCGAGAGGGAATTTAATTGTTTTGGGGGATTCCGACCGACCTAGAGTGTGCGAGCAGCAGTGGAGCTGCACTCCAGGCTTCAGGCGCAAAGAGCTGCATGCATGCCACCGAAGGCGCTGTCGAGGTTCGCCGAGCGCGGCGCAGGTTGGAGGAAGCCGCCACCGTCCACCGTTGGACTTTTCACTCCGGACAAAAAGACGGCGACACGCACACGAGCTGCGGCCGTCTTAGCGGCGAGGCGTGGGACCGTCTGTGGCGAAGTGGATCGCGTCCCTGAATTTCCGTCAACTCTGAACTCACGGTCCTTCCCCTCTACAAAATGGGCGCGAGCTGTGCTGCCACAGAGCACAGTGAAATGGACCACTAGCCATGATCGCGTCCGGGCCAGCCGCCGTGATCGAGTCGCGCGCCTACTACCCTCAGTCCCATGCAAAACACGCACGTCCCGGGAGCCGTAGCCGCTACCCCGCACACACGGAGGGATCACACTCCTCGGGCCCCCCTCGATCCTCAGTCCCCAACAAACATGTCCCGCGCGAGCCGCTCATCCGCACGAAACAAGGGGGTCAGACTCCGCCGAGCGAGGTCAGGGGCACAGCAAGGCCTGGCGCTGCCGTCTCTTCTCACCCCGCCGCTGCTCGCTGCTGCCGCTTACCTCACCACCACTCCTCCCCCGCGGACATCTTCGCAACGCGCCGCTGGCGCAATCCCTCTTGGGTGCGCCGCTGGGCCGGTGTTTGGACACCGGTGCACAGCGGCCCCCAGCCAGCTGCGGTAGCTTCCGCCTGCCAACCAACGGCGGCAGCGGCGTAGCCCTCGTCGTATGCGGCTTCGATAGCGTACGAGTGGATGCTAGGGATGTTCTCACACCACGCGTAGGTCTTGGGCGCGTAACATGCGTACTGGCCAGGATCGAGCCCGTCCGTGCGGTGCGTGTCGCCGTCTATGTCGCCGACGGCGGTGCACGCCGTGGAGGGGAGGAGGCGGGCGGCGGTCGCCAAGTGCTTGCCGACAAGGTGGAGAATCTCCTGCGCGTGGTGATAGCTGTAGACGTGCCCGCCGTGCGGCCAGTACGCGTACTGCTTCGCCACGACGGCGGGGTGCGGCCACGCGGCGGCAAACGCCGGCGAGGTGAAGTCGAGGGCCACGCGCACTGTTGTGGGCAACGCAGGGGGAGGGTCGGGGGGGGGGGGGGGGGGGGTACAGCAGAAGGGGAGTTGCGCGGGGGTGCTGTGCACCGTCGTATAGCCAAAAGTCAACCGGGTAGTCGACTTGTGGGACGAGTCCCGGGGCAGAGTGGAGGTCGGAGGCGTTCATGTAGCCCACGGTGTAGTCGGTCATCGTCTCGGATTTGCCGTTGAAGTGGAGGATGGGCATCCCGAGCTCCTCGAGCATCATCAGCACCATGTCCTGAGCCGGGCTGTAGAGCCACCCCGCTGCGACGCCGTCCGTCGTGATCTGGTACGGGGCGTAGGTTGCGCCGGCACGGACGCCCCTCTCTTGCGCCGCCTTGGTGATGCGCTTGAAGGACTCGACGGCGCCGCACAACAGCCCCTTGTCGGCGGCCGACTGCCCAGCGGCGTCGGCCGAGCCGAGGAAGACGGCGAGCTTCTCGTGCAGCGCGACCATTTCGATGAAGCCGCGGGTGATGCCCGTCTCGGGGTCGGTGCGAGAGATGGTGATGATTGGCGTGCCCTGCTCGGTGGCCTTGCCGCGGACGGCGTCGGTGATTGGCCAGCCCCCTCCCCAGGCGCCCTGCACGAGGAAGCTCGGCCAGCCCTTCGCGTTGAGGAGGGGTATCTCAAAGGAGGCGCACCAGTAGTTGCCAGCGCTGCAGTCCGGGCTGAGGTCGAGCGCTTGAGCGATGAGCGCGGTCTCCGACGACGTCGGGTCGTTCGGAAAGAGGGTCGGATCGTAGCTAGCGTTTGCGTGGTTGTCGCCGAAGCCGATCGCATTGCCGTCTGGGGGAGGGAGGAAGCTCGTGAGTAAGCGTGTTTGGTCGATTGGGTTTGGGGGGAACTCACTCCAGTACACGCCGCCAACGTTCGAACCAGACGTGCCGCGCTCCCCATACGTGGCCCAGATCTGTTCGCCATCAACGCCGAAGTGGATGAGCGAGAGAGAGTCGAACGCACTGCGGCACAGCGTGGCGCGGGCTGATCGGCGGCGGAGGTCGATGGCTGCGGTGCGACTGTGATTGGGGCGAGTGCGGCGTTTGATGCGGCGGCGCTGCCGACCTGGTGACGATGGTTGGCGCGTCATCGCTGGTGGTATGCGTGACGCCGGCGTCGTCGACGAACTCGCGTAGCGCCGATGCCGCCACCAGAGACGAGAGCGAGAGGAGCATGACGAGGGAGAGGACGCCGAGTGTTTTTTGGTGGAGCAGAGGTGAAGGGGGAGGATGCTAGTGGTACTCGAGTAGGGCCCCAGAGGTGGGGCAAAGGTGCCGAATCGACCCTTGAGGTAGAGCTCTAGGTGCCCTGCAAGGTCCCTGCAAGGTGCCCACACTTGGAAAACAAAGTTTGCTCCGGTATCCCCCTAGAAGCGCAATCGACCCCTGAATTGCGACTCGCCGCTTTCCTCCCGCTGTGTGTGATTCTCTGTGGGAGCCCTGTATCCTGATCTGCCAACAACGTACGCGTACCATCCTACCATAAAACTTTACGCGGCGCTGGTTTTCGGAGCAGGGCGTCGAGCCGTCTCAAATTTGTCTCATGCCCAAGCCGGCGCGGATCGAGTGTTTTCAGCAGTACAAGGAGCCTCGGGCGCATGCTCTCTCTTCTTCGCATGCGTGGTTGGCGCGCGATCGGTGCCCACCGACGATGCCTCTGCCGAGCAATCGGCCGTCACCGATGAGCTCGAGGCAGCATCTCCGTGAGCAGCTCCAATGATGAGGTTAGGCGCCATGGTCGTCCCTCGTTGGGCCTGCTTGCTGGATATGTGTACGCTGCTTCAGTCGTGTACCTATAATCATGATCGGCGGACGCCTCGAGAGTTGCCTCGCCGTAGGATCCCAGGGTTGCACTGGCACGGAGGGGCGCCCAACCTGTTTCGCCCAGGCAAAGGAGCACTCTGGCATCGGGTACAACCAGGCCGCCGAGCATGCTCACTGCGTCCTGGCAGCGCTTGCCGGCTCACCTCTGTGCCTTCCCCCGCGGCAGGAGAAGCTGCTCGTCGGCGCGGGCATTGCCTGGCGGTACAACTTCAACCTCGGCGGCCTCGTCTGGCCGCCGCTGCGCAACTCCGGTCTCGAGTCGGGCAAGATTTTGCACAATGTCGACGTCTGCGCCTACATCGCTCGGATGGGCGGCGTGCCGCGCAATCGCGTGTGCCACCGCTCGCCCCGTATCGGCACCTCCACCAACCTCACCCTCTATGAGGGGTCCCTCTCCTCGGCGAACGACTTCTCGCTGCCCGCGCTGCTGAGCGACGACTTTCTCCGCGCGGTGCGGTGCACCTTTCGGCCGCGCCTCGCGCCGCTTGCGCGGTTCTGGGGCTCGAGGCGGCCGACCGTGGCGCTGCATGTGCGGCGCGGGGACGTGCACACCTCCAACTCGCGCGTCGCAAGGTCGGTGTACACGCATCACTACGTCGCCGATTCCGCGTACCTCGACATCATCGGCGTGGTGCTGCGGCGCTACCCGTCGGCGGACGTGCACGTGTGGAGCTCGGCCGAGGGCTTCTACACGAACGCCTCGTTCGAGCCGTTTGCGCGCCGGCGCGACGCTCCACATCGACACCGACGAGATGGAGGCGCAGGCGCACTTTGCGACGGCCGATGTCTTTGTGATGGGGAGGAGCTGCTTCTCGTTGCTGCCCGCGCTGCTCGACCCGAACTGCGTCGTCGCGACGGTGCACGGCTCGAACAAGATGACGGACGAGGCGCTCGTCCGCGCCGTGCCGCACGGGATGGCGCTGTCGGTCGGGCGGGCGGGCGAGGAGAGGTGGGTGGGCGGAGAGGGTGGGCCGGATCTATTTATTTTTGTTTTGTTGAGAGAGAGAGAGAGAGATGTGTTTGTGAAAAGAGAAAAAATGAACCCTTCTTTTGTTGAGCTCTTGCCTTCGATGTTACGAAACAAACGCAAGGCGGACACACACACGACGCATCATCTGATTCCATGCGCTCGACTATAGCGCGCGAGGTTGGCGTGTGCATCGTGGCTTGCGCAAAGTCTGCGGGCGAGCGCTGGTGAAGATGTGCAGGCTGGCGAGGAAGGAAGCTGGCGTGTTCGGGCGCGATGCTTGGGCGGGGAGAGCAGGGCGGGCGAGTAGGCGGGCAGCGCGACTGGATGCAGCGGCCTGCGGGCCTGGCGGGCGGGGCTGGCGCAGGGCTGGGCCCTGCAGGGGCCGCGACGCGGGCGTATTGAAACTGGAGCACTCCTGAATTCTTGGAGCACTTGGAGTGCAGTCATCAACCTCACATCCAGGGCCGGGGAGCTAAGAAGCGCACCCAGCGGGCCGGATGATCGGCATCAGGTTACGGGCTAGAGAGCCCTAGCCCTGGGGGGGTGCGCGTTCGCAGGGAAAGGGCCGTAAAGTAAACACAGGTCTCCGAGGGTTGGTTCTGCGCTTTGGGTGTCCCCTAAGGGCGGAACGCCCCCTCTACTCGGAGCTAGTAAACACCAGACACAAGCATGACGTACACTCTCACCCGACATCGCCACTCAGGGCCCCTCCGCCCGATCTCCCCACCCCCCATCCGAAGGGGCTCCCCCCTCCTCCCGGTCCTCCCTCCTGTTCGCTTTCCGATGGTCAGGCGTCGGCTGCGGAGCCCGCCTTATTCCCGCTTCCCCTCTTATACTTTTTCGACCGCGGCCTCGCCGCCGTCTCGCCTTCTCTGTCTGATCTCGTTAACTCCGCGGGTGGCGATCCCGTGCCCGACTCCCCGGGCGAGGGCAGCGGCGTTGGGTTATATCGCCTCCCCTCGGGCCGGCTCTTCTTGGTCGACGAATCGCGCCCGCACCCGCGGCCTTTCTATCGTTCTCGGCTCGCCCCTCCCCTCCGCCGGCACCTCCTCCAGCTCGGGGGGGCGTGGCCCTCCTTGTCGTAGATCACGGTGGCCCGGCTGCCGCCGCGACGAGTCTACCCCCGGTGAGCTCGTACGTCCCGACTCCACTTGTAGAGGCCGAGTCAGCTCGACTCTCACCCCCTCCGACAGTTGACTCCAGGTCGCACCTGGGGCCCTCCGGTCTTGGCCTTCCGGTTCGCCGACAGACCCGCTGTCGCCTCGCGGTACCTCCCCTCCTTCGCCCCCCCCCCCCACCCTCGGGTAGCTCAGCCTCCGACGGGGCGGCTCCGGGTTCCCCAAAGTTCGTGTGGGTCCGAGCGGTGGCGGCCACGCCGGCGGCGGGGGTGGAGGCGGCGGAGGGGGGGGCGGGTACGGTGGCGGTACTGGCGGTCGCATCGCCTGGTATGGAGCCTCAGTGGCGGCCCCATGACCCTGCAACCACTCCAGCGGTGACGGCGGAGGCGGTGGTGGGGGGGGCGGGTACGATGGCGGTACTGGCGGCCGCAACGCCTGGTGTGGAACCTCGGGGACGGCCCCTCGGCCCTGCGGCCGTTCCCGTCGCGGCTCCACGCGCCGATCGCCCACCGCACTCCGGGGGGGGGATCTAGCCCTTGCTCCCCCCCGCGGAGGGAGGAGGCCAAGGCCCGGGCTCGCCGCTGGCCTCGCCTCTCCTCCCCCTCGCGCTCCGCTAGGTCGTAAACTGTCTATCAGTCGCGTCGCTTCCTCATTCGCCCGATCCCCTTCGATCCGCACCCGCACTGCCCGAATGTTGAAGGCCGAGTTGTGCTCGGACAACGGGCCCCCCGACGCCACTCGCCTCTTCACGTAAACGCACAACCCCGGGCCCCGAAATCGCACAGTGATGCTCTTCACACAGCAGGCGTATGCCATCATCGCCTGTCCCCGACGGTGTCGGTCCTGGTGCAATGTCGTTGACGAGGTATTCCTCCCCCCCCCACCGGAACACCTGCCCAAGAAGGCCTGTCTCCTTCCCCGAACCTCCTTCCCTGGCCCCCCCCGCCAAATGCCGCCGTTCTCGGGGCATGCTATCCTGTGTAAGCAGGGCAGGTGGGGGAGGGGGGCACTCCCACGGACGTATGTATCCGTGGTGACTGTCTCTAGCGTCGGAGGCAAGGCAGAAGAAAAGAATATTCAATTTTCTAGCCAGGCCCCGTACTTCCCGTGCCTGCACTGGCCTTAGCACGCCGGTGCTGGTTGCGAGCGACAGACCGATTGCCCTGAGTTCCGCCAGGACCGCCTTCTCGCCCGCCACCGCGGCCTCTTGATCCCTCTCGGCTTCTCGGATCGCATCCTGTCGTTGTCTCACCCTGTCTGCTGCCGGCACGAACCTCTCCGGGCTGCCTCGTGCTCTTTTTGGCAAGATCCGCGCTGTAGCTCGATCGGTCACACCGCCATCGCCGTCGAGGAGAGGGGGGACGACACTGCTTCGGCAGCGTGCACCTCGATCCTGTACCGTGTTTGTTATGACCCCCCCCGATGAACACGCCAGTGAGGGAGGGCGAGACGATCGAGGGGTCCCGTCCGTACCATGCGGAATCGACCCTATCAAGTGCTCAAGAGTCAAGTGCTCAAGATCCGCGCCGGGGGAGGCCGATCCACAGCAGTAGCCCCGGCTCGGGATGTGCTCGGTTGCGACGGCTGCTCCCCCCTTCGCCCAATTTCATTAACCCTAGTAGGTGGATAGTGTCGCTGTTTTCGAAAGGCGCTGACGGCCCGGCGCGTACCGCGCGACGCCCGGGCTACCCACCAGTGAAAGGCCTATACCAACCCTTCAAAATGACCTACTAACTTTGGTACACTCTCACTTTGATATTTCCCGCGGTGCACACTCAAAGTCCGGAAATCTCACAGACGCGCGCGTTTTGGCCGGCTACCCCATCGGGTCGCACGGAGACACGGGAAGGCTGCCGCAAGCCGCCTCCGGGTGCAGGGGCCCGACGCGGTAGGCGGGGGCAACAGCCCGGTAGCTGGCCGCGCCTCTCCGCCCCGCCCGTCGCCGCTGCACCCCTTGCCGCGGCCCTCGTCGCTGCTGCAGCGACGACAGCCGCGGCACGAGGTCAGAACGCGGCCTCGGAGAGCTCGAGCGAAGGCGCCGACGGTGGCGGCCGTGGTAGTGGTTGATGGTAGAAGGCTCCTGAGCCGTCGGGCACCACGCTCGACGTCGCCGAGGAGCCGCACCCGGCGCGAGCGCCTGCGCGTCGGCGGGTGCCACCGAAGGCGGGTGGGCAGCACCGGGCGGGGCGGCGGAGCTTCTCGAGGCGCGCACGTGCCCCGCGGGTCGTGCGCCGAGGCAGACGGCCGAAGAACCGGTGGAGTATCGCGCCCTCCTTCGCCGTGCCGCGTGTGCGCTGCGCCCGCTCGAGCGGCCGTCGAGAGCAGCGCGGCGCAGCCGATCCGGGCGATGAGCGTGCGCGGAACCGACCGGACCCGTCAATGTCCACTATGCGGGCATGGCCAGGCCGGCGCGGTTTGGTCTGGCGACCTACAGGGCGCGCACCGCGGTTGTGTCAACGCGAGATTCCGCGAGACCGCCTGTCTGACAGGTTATCCACCCACTAGGGTTAACGCAAGAGAGAGGTGAGGCGGGCGAAATTTTCTTGCCAGCCCCGCTTGCAGCCCCGCTTTGCAGCCCCGCTTGCAGCCCCGCTTGCAGCCCCAGGGCGCCGGCGATGACGCCCTCCTCCCTCCGCAGCCAAGTCGCGGCCCTTCTCGGCGACCTCGAGAGCGCACTCTGTGCGCCGCTCGGCTCGCCCGACGGCTCGGCCGACGCCGACGCCGTCACTGCTGCCGCTGCACCCGCCGCCGCCGCGCCCGCCGCCTCGCCCTTTTCGCTGGGCTCAGGCAGCCCGTTCGCGTTGAGCTCGGGCTCTCCCTTCTCCCCGTCGGCACCCCGCGCGTTTGGCGCGGCCGCATGCGCCGCCGTCGCCCCCGCGCCCGCCGCCACGTCGCCCGCCGCCGCGCCCGCTGCGCCTGCCGCCTCAAAGGGCGAGTCGCTTGCCGAGCTCGAGGCGCGTCTGGAGGCGGCGGAGTCCGAGGAGGCGCCGGAGCCGTGCCGCCCCCACTCGCGCGACGACTTTCTCCGACGCGTCCACTCCTTCTCCAACGCGCGCCTCTGGTTTGCAAAGCCCGCCGCGCTCTCGCCGCCGCAGTGCGCTCGGCACGGCTGGCGGCTCGGCGCGGCGGCGGACACACTCGTGTGCCGCGTGTGCCTGGCGGAGTTCAAGTGCCCGACCAGCCTCGACGACCCCGCCGCCCTCTCCGCCGCGGAGGGCCTGCTCCGCACCGCCCACCAGCCGCTCTGCGCCTGGCGCTCGCAGCGAGCCGGAGGGGGCGTCCGGGACGTGTCCGGGACGTGTCCGGGACGTGTGCACGGCGTGGCCCGTAGGCTCAGCAACCCGTCGCCAGAGTCGTTCGGGTCGCTCCTGCTCCCCGCCCGCTTCGGCGCCGCCCCCTCCCTCGCCGAGGGCGCTGCGCGCGCGCTCGAGTCGCTGCGGGCCCGCCACGCCGCGCTGCTCCGCCTCCCGTCGCTTCCTGCCCTCGCAGACGGCCTGGACCACGCCCCTTGCGCGAGGCGGCGTGACGAAGCCTCTCCTCACACCGCGTCTGCTCTGAGTGCAGGCCTCTCCCCCGCCCTCGATGAGGCTGCCGCAGCCGCAGGCCCTCGCCGGGGGGCGGTAATGAAGTCAATGAAATGCGTCTCTAATCAACAATTGATGAGCAGGCCCTCGCCGGGGGGCGGTAATGAAGCCAATGAAATGCGTCTCTAATCAACAATTGATGAGCAGGCCCTCGCCGGAGGGGGGGGGCTAATTACTAACTAGTTCGTTGTCTCATTCACGAGTTGATGAGCAGGCCTCGCCGGAGGGGGGTCGGCGCTGCTCGCCGCTCTGTCCTCGCGGCTGCGCGACTCGTCCGACGGCGCGGCGGAGGCGGAGGCAGGCGGCGGCTCGAGCGAAGCGCAGCGGCGCGAGGCTGCGCTCGCCGCTGCCCCTCTGTCCGCGTCCAGGACGTGTCCAGGACACGTCTCCCGTAGGCACGAGGCGGCCCTCAAGCTCGCGCTGCTCGGCTGGCGGCCCGGCGCCGCGCTGCCGCAGCCCGGCGCCGCGGCGGGAGGGAGCGGGCAGGGGGCAGAGCCGGCAGCTAGCCCCCCCTTCCGCGAGAGCCCTCCCCTGCCTCGTCCATGACCCGTCCCGGACACGTCCACGCAGGCCCTCCTCACGCTCGAGTGCCCCGAGGACGGGCGCACCGTCGGGTTGTGGCACTACGCAGAGCTGGGAGACGACCTCGCCGCCGCGCCGTCGCCCGCCGCCGGCTCCAAGCGGCGCGCCGAGGGGGGTGGTGCGGCTGCCGCGTCCAAGCGCGGCCGCGGCGGCCAAGGCGAAGGCGACTCGTCTGTGGGCCCGCCCTCGGCAGCGCGCTCGTCTGGAGCCCTCGACCCGGTGGCGGAGCACCGGGCGTGGAGCCCGTGGGTGCAGGTGGTGGCGGGCGACACGGTGCCCGCCTGGATGCGGTGCGCCGCGCTCCTCCTGCCCGCCTCGCACCAGCAGAGCGCGCCCGTCGGCCGGGCGGCCGCCGCGGCGCTCGCGATGCTCTGAGTCAACGCTGCACAGAGCTGCTCTCCGAGGCCTCTGCTGCTGCCCCCTCCGACAAACCACCGCTTTGTGTGCCGGAGGGTGAGAGAACGGGCCTCTTGACTACACACTAACAGTTAACAGAGAGATACGAAAAAGAAAGACAAGCCGGGGGAGGGGTGGGTCGTGGGAGAACGCGCAGCAAGAAACGAAACTGGAAAGAAAAAAAGCACCACGGATCATGTAAGGAAAGAATTCTCTGTTTGTCGGCTTAAAAGAATTCTTGGGCGCCTAAAAAGAAACGGCGAGGGCCAGGCCCCCCTCCCCGCGCATTGCGCGCACTAAACCAGTGCGCGCATGCGCGGCGAGAACCAATGCAGCGATGGACATCTCGCTGCAGGCGCTCGCGGGGCCGTGAGTGGGGGTCCCCACTGCTGCCCCTCTGACTATTCTTTTGTCTGTGGTGATGCCTTTCCCTGAGAACGCACACAACGCCTCGTGTGTAATGCCATGTGTTCCACGAGTGCGTGTGCCCCGTCGTCCATGCTAGGACGTGTGTAACACTGACTGACTGACTGACTAAAAAGAAACAAAGAAAAGGCGCCTCCGCGCAAGATGTCGCTCTTGGCCTTGCTCTCGCGGGCTTATCTTCCTCCGCGGCCATTGTCCATTCCCACACGCGCCGCTGCGCCGAGGCTCTGCACCGACGGCGGCGATGTGAAGGGCGAGGAGGACTGGCGCGACGTGCGGGCGCGGCTTGTGGCGATGGAGCAGCTCGAGCAGGCTGATCCCGACGCTCCGCCTGGCCTCAGCTCGCCCGTCGTCAGCGGTGCCCCCGTCTACGAGACGCCGCTCATCGAACGGGGTTCGGTGATCCTCGGCGGCACGCAGCAGGAGTTCGGCTTCGCGCTGCGACAGCAGTACTTTCACAAGTCGGTCATGCTTCTTCTGCAGCACGACGACGCCTTCACTCGCGGCATCATACTGAATCGGCCGTCGGCGATGGAGCTCGACGGCTGGCGCGTGTGGTTCGGGGGCGACGTGGCGGAGGGCGGACTCTTCCACGGGAATGGACGGGCTGGAGGGACGCGCGAGATCGTCTGCTTGCACTCGCTTACGAGCGACGCTGCGACGCGGCTGTCGATGCCGGTGATCAGAGGGGTGCAGTACACGACGCTCGAGGGAGCGCAGGCGCTGGTCGCCTCGGGCGAGGCGGAGAGGTCTTCCTTTTGGCTCTTCGTGGGCTACGCGGGCTGGGCGCCCAAGCAGCTCCAGGGCGAAGTCGAGAGAGACTCGTGGTGTGCGGGCAGCCCTAACCCTAGCCCTAGCCCAAGCAGCTCCAGGGCGAAGTCGAGAGAGACTCGTGGTGTGCGGGCAGCCCTAACCCTAGCCCTAGCCCAAGCAGCTCCAGGGCGAAGTCGAGAGAGACTCGTGGTGTGCGGGCAGCCCTAACCCTAGCCCTAGCCCAAGCAGCTCCAGGGCGAAGTCGAGAGAGACTCGTGGTGTGCGGGCAGCCCTAACCCTAGCCCTAGCCCAAGCAGCTCCAGGGCGAAGTCGAGAGAGACTCGTGGTGTGCGGGCAGCCCTAACCCTAGCCCTAGCCCAAGCAGCTCCAGGGCGAAGTCGAGAGAGACTCGTGGTGTGCGGGCAGCCCTAACCCTAGCCCTAGCCCAAGCAGCTCCAGGGCGAAGTCGAGAGAGACTCGTGGTGTGCGGGCAGCCCTAACCCTAGCCCTAGCCCAAGCAGCTCCAGGGCGAAGTCGAGAGAGACTCGTGGTGTGCGGGCAGCCCTAACCCTAGCCCTAGCCCAAGCAGCTCCAGGGCGAAGTCGAGAGAGACTCGTGGTGTGCGGGCAGCCCTAACCCTAGCCCTAGCCCAAGCAGCTCCAGGGCGAAGTCGAGAGAGACTCGTGGTGTGCGGGCAGCCCTAACCCTAGCCCTAGCCCAAGCAGCTCCAGGGCGAAGTCGAGAGAGACTCGTGGTGCGGCAGCAGCCGCACCAGAGAGGCAGCCGCGGGGAGAGCTGACCGGCGCTGCTCGTGAGACAGGTACCTCGCCGCAGCCGACTCGGAGGTGCTGCTGCGCGAGCTCCTCCGGCAGGGCACCGA